AGATTTCTTGGACTGATACTTCTTTAGAACTATTATAAATTATATACTATATTTCTTCTTCTTCATCATAATTAGTGATATATTAGATAAGTATTACTTTTCTAATTTTATTATATTATTAGTAAATATTTAATAAATTACTATTATTTCTTAATTTTCTGATAGTACCATTATTTTTTCATCAATCACTATAATTAAATATATATATATATATTGCTCAGTATAGTCTTTAGTTTTATTTTGAGACAAAATTATTAACAGATTATTTGAAGTATTTATTTTAATATTGATTTAGATGACCAAATTATCAAGTATTAAGAGTATTCATATTTGGAAATTGATAATTTATGATAACATTAACATTTTGCAATAGGTTCTCTCTAGTCAAAAGTCTATTACAAACTTTATTAATAGATCTATTAGAATTTTTCTTTTAATTTTGAGTATTCTTTCTAGGTGAAAGTGGCATCTTTAACTTGAATTTCTTCTTTATAAATTTTAATATTTCTAACTTTGAAAATTGAATTTATAATTAAATAAGAAACTTTTTCAAAGTTTACATTATTAAATTATCTGGAGATATAAATTTGAATTCAGAGTTTATCAGATATTTAACAAAAAAAATTATGATTTTCTAAGTCTTGATCTTTAATTTTAAACTTATTATTAGTAGTTTTACTTGAAAATATTTCAGAATTATCATCACTATCTTCAGGTTATATATTTTGTTGTTCATGAATAAATTTAATTGATATTCTTTCTTTTTCTTCATTTTAACTAAAGATTATTATATTTTTCTTGAGATCAATTTTTGTATTGATTTTATTTAACCAGTTTATTTCTACTATAAGATTGTAGATTCAAGTTTCAGTAATATTCACTTCTGTTAGAATTATAATTTTATTAATAGTGATAAGAAAATTATCAATTACTTCTAATAGTTATTTAGAATATCTTTTTATATTAGACATGAAGATATTAGATTTTTGTTAAATTTTCATTTCTAATTATTTAAGAAATTCATGACTAATAATATATCCAGATACTTTAGTATCAATAATTAAATTTACAGGAGTCTTTCTAACTTTGACTTTATATCAGGCTGAAGTTGTTTTGATCTTTTAGATGAATATTATTTTTTGTTTGAGTTTTTTTTATAATTTCTTTTTTATTTCTTTTAATATTCAAATTTTTTGTTCAGATAATATCTTGATAAGTTAAACAATAGTAATATTGTCTTTCTAAGATGCCAAATCTTCAAGTATATTATAGATTTCTGCTTTCTTTACAAGAATTAGAAGGTGAGCTCTTCTTTTTTTTTATTTCTTCTTTTTCAAATTGATCTTATCTTCTTCTAGTACTTCTAATAAGAATTGGATAATTTCATTTTCTTTTTCACTTTCTTCTTTTTCTTTGATAACTCTAGCTTGTTTTCTTTTTTTAGCTAGATAATCATAAGTTGCTAATAATGAGAAACTAGATTAGATAGATAAATCACTTGAAGAATTACTAGCAAATGCTTATAAAGTAGTTATTATATTCTGAATTTGAATAAGAAGAAAAGTAATATTCAAGTTTTATAAATTATTAGATTGCTAATTATTATTTTAAATAATCTGATTTTGTTGATTATTATTATTACTATTATTATTTTGATTTTAATTATTCCAATTTCAAGAAGTATTTTGATTATTAAATTGCTAATTTACAGACTGGAAATTATTTAAATATACTTTACTAATATATTCTTTTCTTTATAATTATAATAAATAATAATGAATCTGTTTTCTTATTGATTTTATTGCTGATTGATATTATTACTCTAATTATTATATCTTTTATCAGATTTTATATGATCTAATGCTATTATAGTAATATAAATTTCTTTAATTTCATAATTTTTTGAACTTAGAAGATTTGACTAATCAATTGATCTTTAGAAAATATATAATTTCAAATAATATAATTGGTGTATCAGTTATAAATTCAGTCATGATTCAACAATATTCTTGCAATATTCTTGCAATATTTTTGTAATGTTCTAAGATCATTAATAAATAATTAGCTCCAAAATTAATAACAATTCACAAATAGTTTAATAATGATTCAGAAACACTTTAGAAATGATTCAGCAATGAGTTTCATTTATTTTTATCATTTATCTTTTCTTTTTAGAATATCTATCTTATCTTTTCATTTATTTTATCATTTGTAATATTATTTAACTTACCATATGTATCTTATCTCTTATTTTTACTTATTTATTTATTGATCCTTTGTCCTAAAGATTGTAATTATAATCTAGAATAGTAAACAAGTTTAGATAGAAACTTGTAAAATCTCAAAGATGTATAAATATCTCTATTCTAAGACCTGAAATAAACATACTTGAATAGCAATAATTCAATTATCTTTTGAAAATACTTAAGTTATACTTATCTTGTAATTTTTCTTTGATTTTTGCCTTGATATCTTGCTTTCATTTACCTCTTTTATCATAATAGATTATATTCTAATTATTTATAAGTTTTTCTTGCCTGAAAAACTTAGATAGTAGATATTTTTCACTTAAAATGAGTCAAGTATATTTATTTGATTTAGAAGATTCTTGTAAGCTTTCCTATATATAAAAGCTTAATTTAGTATTCATTACTTTGGTTTTTGTATTTGTTGTATTGATATTAATATTTATTATCTTGATTATAAGTCTTTGTTACTTTAGTTTTTGGTATCTACCTTTAGTTTAATATTCATGATCACAACTTCATTTTTATATTTTTGTTTTATTTTATTTTTATCTTATATTGATATAATACTCATAAATATTAATACTAAAAAATCTTTGAAATAACTGTTATCCTCTTAATCTTTATAAATAATTTAGTTTTCACCCTCAAAACTTATTATAAACTATATTCATGATAAAACTTATCTTTCAGAATATAGTTTGTAATAATAAGTAATCTGAGTAAATATTAGTTAAATCTATTCTTCTGATTAGTTCTCTAATAGCTGTAGCATATTATTCTATACTTTTATCAGATAATTATTTTCTTTACTTTAATTATTATTATTATTTATAGAGTCAGTTATAATTTTTAAAATATTTTTCAAATTGATATATAAATAATACTTTTTTTATATTTTGATTAGCTTCATTATTATATCTCTAGATTCTTGGCTATTCTGAATTATGTAATTTTTTATTAGCAAACTATATAGTAGCTGAACCTTTTAGATAAGCTCCTACTATCTGAATTTTTCTTTTATTACTAATGTTATTAGTAATATAAGTATTTTTAAAGTTTTGAAACTAATTAATTGAATCTTGAGTATTATCATAAAATTCTATAATTTTGATATAGTTAGCTTTCTTTGATCTTTTTAAAACTATAACAAGTATTTCAATTCTATTCATCAAGTCTTTAAATTTAAGATAATTAATAAGTTAATTAATATAATTAATTAATAATTTATCAGTTAGTTAGTTATTTAATTTAGTTTAAGTTTTATAAGTTTAGTTCTCAATTCATATTTAAATAAATTTTAGTTTTTAGAGAATTCTAAGAAATCTCTCTTGTAGAATAGATCTTGATTAAGATTTATTATTTTATCTTATTAATAAACTAAACATTATATTTATCTTGAAAATATATTTTAAAATTGAACTATATTCTAGCTAATTATACTAAAGAATATTATTATTATCTATCTTTAGATAAATCTTGATAAAACTTAATATAATAGTATTCATATTCTTGTTAATAAATCTTTTAAAGACTTTTCTAATATTATTATAAAGTATATAATTACTTTATTATGTGTTTTTGATATATTAGAATTAATACTTGCCTCTCACATTATATTTACATCAAAAAGATAATAATATATAACTTTTTTACTTATTTTTATCTTATTATTATCATCATCTAATTATATAAGATATTCATAGATAACTTGTTATTCATTATATTTTAATATAGTAAATATCTGTATATTTTTCAAAGGATCTTTTTGAAGTTAAATAATTTTTTCATGAAGAATGATTATTGATATAGTTTTCATATCATTTTTATCTGCTCAGATCAAGAAATTTAAAATTCTTATAGATTTAGAAGAAATAAAAGATAGAAATATCAAAGATCTATTAGCAAATCTATTTATCAAAATACTTAATTCATTTATAATCTTAAAAAAATTTATAATTTTATAAGTTTTCTTGATGATATTAATAAGAATATCAAAATTATCAAACTTCTAATAATAGATTATTTTTGATATATTTTTTATTATTCTTGAACTTCTTTATTTTATATCTTTCTTTTATATGAGAAAAGTAACAAGTAAATATACTTGTATTTTTTTTCTTTCTTCTTCTTTTTCTTGACTTTATTTTTCTTCTTACTATCTTTTATCTTGGAAATTAAGAGTTACTCTTTCTAGTTATTTAGAAATAGTTTAACTTTTATCTTGTCATTATCTTTCACTTCATTAACTTTATTTTTTGATATTCTTCAATTTCTGCTTTTCTCTCTTTTGCTAATCATTTTCTCTTATTATTATATTTGAGCTAAATATACTTTTTCTTAAGTTATGAGTCACAACGATATTGAATATTATCACGTGATAAAGAAATAGCCAATGAAAATAATTTTATTCTTGACCAATAAAATTAGATCACGTATATTATTATTTGATTGGTCTATTAATATATCAGGTGCTATAATCATATGTCTCGATTTATTCAAAGAGGCGTGTCATTTTTCTATATAAGAACAAGAGGTAAATTCGCAATTTCTGCAGAAAACCCCATTGATCTGTTTTGCAGGACAATATGGCCTAAAATATCCATTGAAAAAAATTATTCTCCCTCATTGCTTATTATGGAACAGATTGGCTACGCGTATCCCAAACACGAGTAAACAACTCGTTCGCGTTTTCTTTGAATATATATAGTGTGACAAAACCCGCCTCACCTACTCTAAATTCGATTAATAATCATGCCCACATCTAAAATGGTATGAAAGTTAATGCTGATGAACTTTGCACTTTCGCAATCCTAACATTTTACTTTTTCGTTCACTGCCATAAATAGGTACATAAATACTTCGAACAAAAGGACTCGGAATGGAACATCATTGGCTTTCTTAAAAGTTGTGACTTGGAACCTTATCCTAAGAAAATAGAAGAATACCTTATATGCCTTGAAAAAATTGCAGATACGGATGAAGGTCAGAGACGCGAAAGGGCACGGAAATTACTTGACAATTACAAACAGGCAAGTTTGAAAGTTTTTAATGAATGAGTGGCGTGGTAGGGATCTCCGGGATAATTATCATTCAAGACTCTGGGTCGAGCCACAAAGACAGTGTTGGGGCACAGGTGATCTCTGGGATTGCCTGATGTTAAAAGTCTCTGGGACCACTGACATTGTCAGACCAGATGATCTCCGGGATTGTCTGATGTCAAAAGTTTGAAAGTTTTTAATGAATGAGTGGCGTGGTAGGAATCCCCGGGATACCTATCATTCAAGACTCTGGGTCGAGCCACAGACAAGTGTTGGGGCACAGGTGATCTCTGGGATTGCCTGATGTTTAAAGTCTCTGGGACCACTGACATTGTCAGACTAGATGATCTCCGGGATTGTCTGATATCGGAAAGTTTGAAAGTTTTTAATGAATGAGTGGCGTGGTAGGGATCTCCGGGATAACTATCATTCAAGACTCTGGGTCGAGCCACAAAGACAGTGTTGGGGCACAGGTGATCTCTGGGATTGCCTGATGCTTAAAGTCTCTGGGACCACTGACATTGTCAGACTAGATGATCTCCGGGATTGTCTGATATCGGAAAGTTTGAAAGTT